AATCTCAAAAAAAAAAAAAAAAAAAAAAAGAAAGCCGCTCATGCGTCCACCACTCACGCTGGGGAGGAGTCAGGGCTGGTGCTGGGCTCACCTCGTCCTGCTCCTCATGCTCCAGGATGGCCTGTAGGAAGGCGCGGCGCTCATGGCTAGAGGACTTCTGGTCAAACATGCCAGCCTGGATCACCTTCTGGTCCACGTTGAGCTTATACTTGGCCGCGGCCAGGATCTTCTCCTCCACGCTGTTGACTGTGCAGAGGCGGAGCACACGTACCTCATTCTGCTGGCCGATGCGGTGGGCTCGGTCCTGGGCTTGCAGGTCCTATGGGGAGAGGGGGCCCGTCACTCCAAAGCAAGCCTGGGAGACCCTTAAGGGGGAAGGCAGACTTCTGACTCTGGCAGGAAAGGTGGGGCCTTTTGAAGTGTAGGTCAACCAAGGCCTGGAGATTCTGCCCAATGTTACCTGCTGCTGTACAGGCCAAAAGCTCAGGAACACAACTTACAAGGAGCCTGGCCTGCCACATGCCCCTGGGGGAGGCCTTCATTGCATTCCTTCAGAAGCAGCACTTTCTACCTCTTGGGATCTGACAGATGTTTGGGAAGAAAGTACCAAATCCCCAGGGATTTATAGTCCAAGGCAGCTACACAATCCTCTGCACAGCCACACCTGGCTGAGCACCACCTACAACACAGTGCCAAAGCCTGGCATCACCATGATCATGGCTGTTAGCTGCAGGCGGTGCTGTTTCCTCACTGTGCACCCAGGCTCCAGCCTCACCTCTTTGAGACTCAGAAGTCACTCTCCTGATATGGCCTCTCTTGTGGATATTGTGCTTATTACATGGGTGAAACAAAGGTTTGTGCAGTCAGCTCCTAACAGAGTGGGAGCTTTGGCTACGCTGCAAGTGCTTTCAATCATTATCCCTAATGCAGAACTAGGAGACTCCCAGGAAGTCCAGTCTCTGGGCCAGGAGCTGCAGGGCATGCTGGCATCAGTGAAGAGCTTAAACTCAAGATTGGCACCCAGTGGGGAAAACAGGCCACACCTGATAAGGTGTAGTAGGGGTACCCTGTGTCCACCACTCAGACCCCACTGCGAGTACACTTCCTGGTAAAAAAAAGCATTCAATGACATCCCTTTGGCCCTGCAGTGTGTTAGAAAACAGGGTCCACAGGGCCTTGCCCAAAGACTAGGGAGGCACACTTGGGCTACCTGTCAAGAAACTGGCCCACTGTCAGCATTGGGATTGGGGTTGGGGTCTGGGTCTTGGCAGGAACTACATTCCAAACTAACCACCGGGACACTAGTGACCACCAGGCCATTCACCCATTAAGACAGGATACGATCGAGAGGTAATCAATGAATGCGTGTTCCTTATCTGCCGGCAAGAGTATGTTCAGAACCCATCAGTGGGAATGAAACCATTTGGCAAAAGCAACCAAAATGAGAGGGAGACACTCCCCTGGGTTTGTTGTCCTGGCACAAGTGCTCTGAGAAAGGGACAACAGGAGCCCAAGGAGCTGGGGATAATCTGACAAACAAAAAGGCCAGATGTCTGCCAACTGGGGCTTGAGTAGGGACATCCCAGGGCTGCCATCTGCCAGGATAGCTGGCAGCTGATTAGACAGCTGGACAGCTTCACACACATACTCTAAGGGAGAAATGGTCAATAGGACTGCAAAAAGGAAGAGGCATATGCTAGGCCACATGGCATCTGTGTCAAACTTGGCAGGCACATACCCTGCAGACGGACAACAGCAGGCAGAGGCTCAGAAGACACTGGGGTTGGAACAAAAGGGAAAAGGAGACTCTTGACTTTGTGTCATTCTTATTTGCATTTAAGAAACAACAAAATGTATTACTTTCATGATGAAACATAGGGACAAATTTTACTCATTTTAAAACTGTTCTATCGGCTCAGCGCCTGTGGCTCAAGCGGCTAAGGCGCCAGCCACATACACCTAAGGTGGCCGGTTCGAATCCCCAACCCGGCCCGCCAAAACAACAATGGTGGCTGCAACCAAAAAATGGCCAGGCGTTGTGGCGGGC